AGAAACTTTAAGCAGGGTATATCGACGAGAGAATATTTTCTTTTCATGGAGGGGGGAGAGATCAGCTGCGCAGCAGTTGTTTTTTGGATTTTCCCTCGACAATTGGTATCCGCTGCATGAGCATCGACGGACAGATGCTGTTTGACCGACTGAATCGACGGACAGATTCGAGTTGGCTATTTGGGAATTTCGCAGGCGTTTGCGAAAGGAAGGCGTGTTTTTATTAACCGCCTGAGGCAATATTGATTATGGTTACTGGACTGATTGAGCTTTCGTCCATGTGCTGATGGACTTCACAGACTTTCGTGAGACGCGGACGCGTGTTCTCGCATGTGTCGCGAATGACCTCGCATTTGACGAATAGCTGGAGTTCGTTGATTTTGCGAATGCGGAGGCGTGTTTCTGCAAGTGTCATGACTCACGTGGAATCAAACGAGGAGCGATCTACAGCTACAGAACTACGGACAAGTTTGGCACATGCAGCAAATTCGGCTCGCCATCTTGCAGCAGCGTGAACAACGTAGTGTTACTGTGCGGATACAGTACACGACGACGGGGTATGTAATTCTCGGCAAAGGACTCGCTGGAGCCAAGGAAGCTGTGGTGCGGTAGTATCCCTTCTGCACGTTTGGTTATCTGGGTAATTTGAAATATATTCGACGGCTAAGATCGACGGCGATCGTTTTGACGTGTTTTGACCGTTGGATGGACCTTTCATTTCGAGCCTTGACAGCGATAGGGTTCCACACCTTTCATTTCGAGCCTCCTGGGCCTTTCTGGACCTCTCTTCGACACATCGAGGACCTTCGACACTTTTCCCGAACCTTCCTAGCCTACGTCCAGGATCACCCTAGGTTTCCTATATATTTGTCAACTTATACATATGCTGTATGTAGAAGTTATAGGCTAGCCTAGGTGTGTGCTTCTAGTGAGTACAACCCCAACAGGCACATGTTCTAGGTTTCTCACACTAGTCAATCATTCTCTCTTTCTAACAATATTGTGTTGTCTTTCATTTTATTGACATTCACTCGTTTAGTCTCGCCATTGCCCTCCGCGCTACTCGGCAGTTCCATTCATAACAAAGCGGCTTCATAGTTACACCCACTACATATCTGCTACCTCGGCTCAATACTACAATAAAAGGCTAGAGAACAGGCCCCCAAATTGGTTTTGGGTCTGTCTGATTCGTCAGAGTCCACAGCCTTCCCTTGGTATGGGTGTCAGAGTTGCCTCCTTGAAAAAGTCTGAAAAATCAGAGTAGCCTTCAATTTTTTGTCTGACCAATCAGAGTCATAGCCAAACTTTTGTATGAGCCTTTTTTATGGTTCTTCATTAGAGAATGCACTACAATTCACTACATGCACAGAATCAGTCAATATCCTACATATCTTGTTGCGGTGCTGTCGGCATATCATTATCATAACCTACTTTCTCCTTTCCCTTCCTGCTGCTACAAGACTCGGGGAGGGCGTTGCTAAGGGGCTTCCTCTTCTTATAAGCCCGCCAGATGGAGACCACCTCTTGCCAGTCGGGGTCATACTCTAGTTGCGACATGCACATCAGATCTCCTAGCCTAGTATCCTTGAGAGCCCCCCGCAGCCAACTCTTGATGACGTTCTGGCGGGAGAGCCCGCGCTCGCACTCGACAGTGCTCACCGGAAGGACAGCCACCGCCACCCACAAGTTGATCAGGTTGGGGTAGCTGTCCCTCCAGTCCTGCGTCTTTAGCATGGCGCTCAGCCCCGCGTGGAATGACCTGTCCGCCTTGGGAAGCGCAGCAAGGACGGGAACGAAGTTGCGGAGCTCGCTCTGGGCTTTGCGCTTGTCTATACCTGATCAGACAAGGGCACACAACACAAGGAAACGGAGAAGGGTTGGGTTATCTGAATCACTACAGGGTTTACGAAAAGACATGTGTCTTGTTTCATATACATTGCGAGAGGGATACTGAAAGGAGTAAACAAATTTACCTGGCAGAATTTCGTCCCTGTCTTCAGCGCGGTAGATGACCACGAGCGAGTTGAACCACTCGAGGCACTGCGTCCTCCGTGCGTGTCGGTCCCAGTTGGGCGGCCATGTGTCGACGCTGAACAGGCGCGCTCCTGACAGCTGCCGCAGATCGCCTAGGCGCACGTCCAGGTTGCGGACCAGGCCCTCCGCTAGAGCCATGCACGCCACGACACTCCCATCGTGGTCGCTGGGCACCGGGTAGTCCTCTTGGGGCTCTTCGTGCAGCTCGAAGGTGAACCGTGAAGGTCGGCCATCAGAGTCAATCCCCTCCACTGTCACTAGCTTGGACTTGCCGGGCCCGTGCTTGGCGAGGAACCGCGTCAATCGATCATTGGGCCCGCCGGTGAAGTCGTCTCCGCAGTCCACGTAGCGGCTCTCTAGCAGCGAGGTCGTGCGGATGATCTGCGCGTGCACCGTTGTGTAGTCCAGCTGGTGGGTAGGGGGGCGAGGAAAGCTAGGGCATCACAGAGGGATGTGTGGTTAAGGGACGAGCGGCAGAGACGAGCAATATCGACATGCATGAAAAGTTGCAAACACAAGCATTAAACATATTTACCTCCCGCTGCTGAAAGACCTTGTTGAGCACGTTCAGCAGCTCGAGCACGTCGGCGAGGAACATCAGGAGGAGCCAGAAGCGGTAACTGGTGACGAGCGCGTACAGCTTGGCATCGTACTCCTGCAGCATGACCGCGATGGCTGGTAGGACCTCGACCAGGCGGATGACAGCATCTCCGCGCGACAGCCAGCGGATGTTGTGGATGCCCTGGAGCTCGAGGTTCGTCGACATGAACACCTCCTGGAGCTCCAAGAATCGTTGATGCCAAGGGTTGGAGCGACCGAGCAGCTCAGCGATCTCGCGAATGATGTTGTCAACCATGCTGAAGACAGGGATCTCCTCAGCAGCAGCCTTTGCCGCTAGCGCCTCTCTGCGTGGGATAAGGGGATGAGATGCAATGTAGGAAGCAAATTAGCGATCGGAATTATAAACAAAACAAGCAAATAAACATGACATGCACACAGCAAATGGTTGACAAACCGATGGGCAATGCAATGGCAAGAGACAAGGTGCGGAACGCGAAGACGAAGGCGGGCCACAAGTCCAGAGCGCGCTCCCATCATGACGGCAGCGCCGTCAGTGCTAATGCCAGAGATGCGGCCGAGGTCGATGCCAATCGCCTGCAGATGGGACAACAAGAGGGCGAGTAGCGATGCCGCATCCGCCTTCTCCACCGTCAACAGAGCCAGGTACTCGGTTACAAGCCGCCCTTCCTGGATGAATGTGGCAAACACGATCATGTGCTTGCCACGGCTGCGATCGGTGCTTTCGTCGAGGCTCAGGCCAATGTAGGGACTCGCCAGCAGGTGTTGGAGTTGAGTCGTCTGTAGCCACGTGGCCGTCGCTTGTGTCAGTTCGCCGAAGCCGTACCTGTTACATGACACGCACAGTGCAAGTTGTTTTAAGTTTCATATCTAAAGACGAAACATAGCGAAGTTCATAGTCACTGGAGTTCTCACCAGTTGTAGTACGTGCCGTAGGCAGACTTCGTGAAGCCCTTGAAACCGCGCAATGAGAGGTATCGCACCAAACTAATCCAAGTTTCCATGGGTTTGTTACACTTGGCGCAGAAGTAGAGGGAGTCGAGCAGCGCGATGACTCGCTCCTTCTCTTCGTCGGCCGCGCGGGGATGCATGTCGATCCGCTGCTGGTTAGACGCCTGTTGCAGGAGATCGTCCTGCTTGGACATGGCGAGGCGATGCTTCTGCGTTCCGGCGTGCTTCTTGAACGACTGTGTCTGCACGTCCTTTGCTCCCTTGCCCGATTTGCCGGTACGCCCTGCAGGTCCTGCATGCACTGTGCATACACTACACTTGAAGGCCGGGAGCCCATCATCAGTTTTCAAAAGCATGAGCCAAGGGAATCTGTCAGACCAGCGAGATTTGAAACGCTCTTGGGCCTCAGCATAGATGTCCTCGTTCGTTCTAGCAGTGGACCTACCGCCAGACGATTCTGGCAAGTCCGCATGTACAAAGGGGCTCGGCACAGGCTCAGGCGGATCCTGGCATGTCGACGTTGAGGCGTACGGCAGAATCACCTGCCTGTACCGGAACCTCTTCGCCGCCGTCACCGACGGCGTGGTGCCGGCGACAGGAGCTGAAGCAGTGGGCAGGGGGCTTGCATCCGCAGACTTCTTGCCCGCTGCATCGGGAACAGGTGCATCGCCATCAGCAGGGGGAGCGTCACCAGGCTTCCTCTGAGGGCTACGATCTGAAGCATCCGACTGCCGCAGGAACTTTAGTGCGTCCGGACCATCGCGGAAATTCTCGGCACACCAGTACTCTTCGTCTTGTTCGTCATAATCTGCCTCGTCTACGTCCTCATCGAGGTCGACCTGCTCCATGGCCTGCAGGGGCGCGGTGGGAAAACAAACGCACTGAAAGAAAACCGAGGGGCTACACGAAGCTTGGCTGAAGTTTTGCTGGAGGGGGAAGAAGCAGGGGTCGTTTTCCCCGTCAGTAAAGAACAGATGGAGAAGGAGGGGGTCTGCCAGCTGCAACTCCATCGCAGTGCGCGAGATGCTGTCCATGCATGAATGAACCAGGCACTCGTCGCGTCAGCATGGGTGCGGTGCCTCGTCTGCTGTGCCTCACCCAGCAAAATGCCTCAGGATTGGCGAAAACAACCGTGTTTTGGTCAAGGACCAATCGGCTGCTCGGGCTATCTCTGTGCTGGCGCCATCGCACAAAATTTGCCCGCCCGACGGCTCGGGCCGCGCCAGCGCAAATGTAATTCTGGCGTGATTGACGGTGACGACAGAGGTACCAACGCAAATCTCGCAACCCCCCCTAAAATGACGGTATTACAGGAATCAGAGTCCCCCCCCCCATACAAGGATGAAGCATCAGAGTACACTTGTCAAAGAAGTCTGAAAAATCAGAGTACGTACATAAAACTTCTCTGAAAAATCAGAGTAACATAGAAAAAAAAAGTCTTTGGAATCAGAGTACACCCCCAAAAAAACTCTGAAAAAAGTCTGAATCAGAGTAAAAAGTCTGCAATTTGGGGGCCTGCTAGAGAATATCCAATTGAAGTTAGAACTTAAAAGAGTCTAGCACGGTGTACGTTTACTCAATGAGGAGCATATCTATGAACCCAAGCATGCGGTTGAGGGCACACAAGAGTGTAAATCCAGCCGAATAGCAGCACTACTGGCATCGATCGCCTGGCTAACCAGAAGGCAAGTCAGGTCAGTAATAACTGACAATCACCTCATTTTCCCCCTCCCAAGTTCCACACGTACTCCCCCCCCAACCCCCGCCTCAAGCTGAAACTACTGTATACATGCTGTTCGTTCCGTGACCAGGCCCTGGTGGGCTGGCACCCCTCCACCACCACCACTCATGGCTGCCACATCACAACCCCCCCCCCCCACACCCTCCCGATCAGCAACAGCAGCACACAATCTCGGCCCGCCAGTTAATGCCCTCTCCGCTTGCCTCCCCCTTCTCTCCTCAAATCCCCTAACCCTCCGCTCCTCCCACCTCCCCTCCCCCTCACGTGTTCTTCCCGATCTCCTCCCGGTGCTGCTTTGTGCGGGTGAGCAACGTGAGCAGCGCAAACACAAGCGCGTACACGAGGTACGCCCACGCGCTCATGCGCAGGGCCTCGTCCAGCATGGCGCGCTCAAACACCGCCAGGTAGTAGTGCAGCCCGATGCCCACCGTCGCCGTGCACTGCACCAGCGCGCGGCACACTCCCAGCAGGTCACGCTGCCGCGCGTTCTGCCGCAGGGCGCTGCCCAGCGACCAGAACTGGAAGGGCGGGGGTGAGGTGGGTGGGGTGGGGGGTGAGGTGGGTGGGGTGGGGTGGGGGGTGAGGTGAGCAGAGGAATGGCAGGAAAGGGGATGGAGGTACCGGATGGGGTGGGAGGCGGGTGCGTGAGGGTGGGAAGGGCGTGGAAAGAAAGTAGCAACGAGGAGGATAGGTGGTAGCGAAGCGAGGGAAGAGGGGAGAAGGGGAAGGGGGGCTGGCTGGGGAGAGAGGAAGTGAATACAGAATGAACCCGGCAACGGCAATCCCAACCCATCACCCTCTCCTCTCCCACGGCGCTCACCTGCAGCCCCAGGTACAGCATGAACCCGACGTGCTGCAGCAGCTGCAGCACGTAGAAGTTGGGCTCCACACACACACCCTCCCAAACCTTCCCATCCCAGGCACCCCTCCCCACCCCTTCCCTTGCGCCTCCTTCGCCCAGCCTACCACCCTCCCCTCCCACGGCGCTCACCTGCAGCCCCAAATACAGCATGAACCCGGCGAACTGCAGCAGCTGCAGCACGTAGAAGTTGGGCTCCGCCACGGCCCTGAGGCTCGCCATGGGCTCCGCGCCCACCACCACGCACGCCGCCAGCAGCGTGAAGCAGTAGAGCGTGAGGTACAGGTTCGCGAGCAGCAGCAGCTTGGACACGGTGAGGATCACGCGCGCCTTGTTGAGCAGGTAGAGGATGAGCGCGAGGGGGATGAGCAGGAGGGAGAAGGAGAGCGCGGACGCGAGGAGGGGCGAGTAGGACTCGCCGACGTAGGGGGTGATGTGGGTGCGGAGGGTGGCGGACGTGTGGATGAACGCCGCGTGGCCCTTCTGCGCCAGGCGGCTGATGGTGGGCGCCATGTGCTTCGCTGCCTTGTCCTGGGGGGGGGAGGGACGGGGGGGGAGATTGATGGGGTTGTGAGGAGAGTGGGGGGGAGAGGGGAAGCGAAAGGGAAGAGGAGGTGAATGGGAGGAGAAACGAGAGGAGATGATATGAGAGAAAAAAAACGTGATGAGGGAAGGGGTGTGGGAAGGGGAGAGAAAGGGGAGAGAAAGGGGAGAGAAAGGGGAGAGAAAGGGGAGGGAAAGGGGAAAGGGGAGAGAAAAAGGGAGAGGAGTGGAAAGACACAGTCCAGATGGGAAAAAAACAAAAAGCGTGTGAAGAAGAGGAGGAGGAGGGGAGGAGATATGTGAGAAGCCAACGGAGACCGCTCTCGAGTTGACTCAAATGTCGCCTCAAACAGGGATAGCAATGTGCCGGGGATGGGGGAAAAAGCCAGACGCGAGAGGGAGGGGAGAGGAAGATGGCAGGGGGTTGGTAGGGAGGTGAACAGGGGCGTGTCACATGAAGAGAGGGAGAACCAGGGCAACCAGCAGAGACTGTGGACCAGGTGGAGAACGCGGGGAGGAGGAACCACACGAGGAGGGAACCTTCCCCCACCATTCCGCAGACCAGGTTTCGCCCATTCACCACGGTACCTCACTCACGGAAGGAACGAAACGAAACACAAGGGCGCGGGGGCTTGGGGGTGGGGGGGCGGGAGGAGGGGGAAAGGGGGGGAAGGAGTTGGAGGGGGGGGGCAGGAGCGAGGAAGCAGTGGCATACCCGGAGGCCTTGCAGGGTGGGTGGGATGCGGTCGGGCATGCCGTGCAGGTTGCTCATGAAGTTGACCAGCGACTCCTCCTCCTCCAGCGCCGCCGCCTCGATCTCCAGCTGCTCGCCCGCGCTCACTTCCACCGCGCCCTCGTCCGCCGCCACCGCCGCCGCCTCGCCCTCTTTCCCAAGCACCACTGACTCGTCCACCACCCCCACGTCCGCCTCGCTGCCGGCGCCCTTCCCGGTCCCTGGGGCGAGGACGATCTCGCCGGCTACCCCGCTGTTGCCGCTGTCTTCTTGCGCCGCTTCTATGGTGGCCACGGCGCCTGCGCCCGCTGCTTCCGCTGCTGCCGTCTCTGCGGCTTCCACTGCCGCCTCCACCTTGTCCTCGGCTGACGAGCCGCTCTCGGGCTCTGCTGCCCGCTTTGTCTCCTTGGCGCCTGCGTCGTCTTCCTCCTCTGCCTCCGTTGCTCCTGCTGCTCCTGCTGCTGCGATTCCCGAATCTTCCCGCTCCCCTGCTGCCTCGTCCGCTGCTGCCGTCTCTGCGTCCCCCTCTGCGTCAAGCTGCTCTTCCCTCACGCTGCTCTTGCTCTTGCTCTTGCTCTTGGTTTTGCTCTTGGACTTCCCAGCCTTGCTAGACTGCTCCTCCTCTTCCTGCTCCTCACCACCCGCTCCACCCACAACCTTGGTCTTCTCCCCTCGCGCCACCTCCTCCGCGCCCGTGTCCGCATCCCCCTCTTCCTCCCCATCAGCAGCAGCAGAAGCAGTCGCTCTCTTCTTTGCCGCCTTGCTCCCCACTCCCGCCCCATCCTGCTCCTCTTCCCCACCTTCCTTCTCCACCTCCCTTTCACTCTCCCTCTCACTTCCCTCGTCCTTCCCCTTCCCACCCTCCTCCTCGTCCTCTCCCGAAGCAGCCCCCTTAACTCCAAGAGCCGGCTCCCCCTCGTCCTCCTCGTCGCCTGCCGCCACCTTGCTCTTCTTCGTCTTCTTCGTCGTCTTCTTCCCCTTCTTCACTCCCACGCCATCCGCATCATCAGCATCGTCAGCCGGAGCATCGTCACCAGCAGCACCGCCAGCAGCAGCAGCTGCTGCTGCATCCTCGTCGTCACCCGGGCTGCTGCCCTTAGCCCTCTTCTTCACAACTCCCCCTTCCCCCTCGTCCTCCTCCGCGCCCTCCCCGCCCTTCGTCCTCCCCCTCGGCACGTCCCCCTCGCTCTCCTCCTCCGCCTTCTCCCCGCTGCCGCCCTCTGCGTCTTCCTCCAACCCCGTGACCATGCCCTTCTTGCTCTTCTTCAATTTCACGCTGCTCTCTGCCCTCTCGTCCTCCTCTCCCTCCCGCCCGTCCTCCACCTCATCCGCTACCGCCTTCTTCTGGCTCTTCTTGATTTTCTTGCTCTTTTTCGTCTTCTTCTTCGTCTTTTTCACCACGCCCTCATCGTCGCCGTCCCGTCCTTCCTCTACCGAAGCCCCACCCGCAACACCAGAACCACCATCAGCATCAGCAGCAGCGTCAGCGTCAGCAGCAGCAGAATCCTCCTCCCCTCCCTTCAACGCCTTCCCTCCCGTGCTGAGCTCGCTCTCCTCCGCGTCCTCGCCTCCCCCTACTGCCATCTTTATCACCTCACCTCCCTTCCCCGCCTTTCCACCTCCCACCCCCCCCTCCTCCTCCTCCTCGCCCCTCCCCTCCCTCTCCATCGCTCCCTCCGCTTCCGCAGCTACCGCAGCGCTTTCCTCCTCCGCGTCCTCGCTAAGAACAGGCTTCTTTACTTTCTTGGCACTCTTCGCCTTTTTCTTCTTCTTTTTCAGCTTCTTCTTTTTCTTCTTGCTTAGCTTACTGCTGCCGCCGGTAGATTCCCCTTCCTCGTCGTCCTCCTGCAATCTCCTATGCGCAACGGCCACTCCTTCCCCCACTCCCTCCCCCTCCACCGCATTCACCGTCGTCAGGCGCTGCGACAGCCCGGCGACGGAGAGTCGCCGCTTCGCATCGTCGCCGTCGTCGCCCGCCGATAGACCCAGAAGGCGACGGGCGACTGCGACAGAAGTGGATCGATCCGCTCCTTCCGCGAAGGACGAGGCGACGGACGGGGAGGAGGCGGCAAGGGGGAGGGCGGAGTGGTGGAGAGCGGTTGCTGCAGCGGCGAGGGTGGCGACGAGGAGGAGCGAGAGGAGCAGACGAGGGGGACTCATGGCGGGCTGTGAGAGGACGACGGAAAGAAGGGTTGAGCACGAAGTGGTGTGAGATATGATGTGAGTCGACATTCACGCGTTACCACGTGCGATGAGCGCGAACGAGGGAGAATGGCGAAGGAAGTGCAACGAGGAAAGAGGGACATGAAGAAAGGAGGAGGCTGTATGAGAGAAGGAAGGTGCATAGAAAGATGCTGCGGATTTTGCTTGGATAAGATATGGAAGGCTTTCAGAAGTTAACTTGGACAGAACGAGCATCGTCAGAACGCGGTTACTAGTGATCGAACCTGATCTCGAAGGGTAATGCGAGCCCTCCCGAGGCGACTGCCCAATTCCGCTCCAAAATCGCAGATCCACGAACACACCGACGATCAGAGTCTCGGCTCGAAGCTCATCCCGCGGGTTCCACGCTATCCTCCCACGAACGCCTCGCTGGTGCCGCCTGGTGGTAAGGCGATGGAAGACTCCGCCTTAGAGGCGAAGCAGAGAGAAAATGGTTGATACAGGAGACAGCAGAGAGGAACGTGGAGAGAATTGAGCAGTCGGTGGGGAGCGGAGCAGAATGTGATGCGCGTTGCTGCTGTGTGTCAGTGACTGCTGGAGGCGAGGGGAGGGAGGGAGGGAGGGAGGGATGGGAGATGGGAGAGATGTTGCTGCTCTGTGTCAGTGACTGCTGGAGGCAAGGGGAAGATCTGGTAATCTCGAGGCTGGCGAAACTGGCAGCGACTAGCGGATTCTCGTAACGAAACGCTGGCGAAATGAACGAACCCGAAGGCGACGGAGCAGGGCGTCGGTGGTGGTGGAGGGGCATGTGGTGGTTGGTGGCGCAGAGGGTGAACGGACGCAGATCGACAGGTGGGTGGCAAGTTGGATGGATAAACGGTTGTGGTTGGTTGAGATTTTCCAGCAGAACACACAGGTCGCCATTGGCCAGAGGCAGGGGCGCGAAGATTCAGTCTTCGGCTGGTCAGGTCTAAACGCGAATTTCAGTCTCCAGACTCGGTACAATTACTTCCGTTACGAGAACAGAAGTTCAATTGTATCACTTTTTGTTGAAATTGTGGATATTCAGCTGGATTATTGTGCACAATGACAAGTTTATCGAACACGTTATTTTCCACGAGGCAGTGTACATCGCTTTCCCCACCACTGCTTCGTGGGAGACGATGCCGCCTTGTCAGACAACCCGAGACGCATCGCTCAAAAGCGCGCCAATAAACTTCCAGCAGGCCACAAAAGGATCATCTGTGATTAGCGTCACGCGCGCCGCACGGGCCGCCTATCCATATCTGTGAGAAGCGTCAATTCTGTGGATGAGATCCATTGTCCTGCAAATCAGATCATTTGTAGCCTCCTCTGCTGTGTTCCCTCGAGTTTATCTCTTTTCGAAGTCGCCATATTCAACGTCGGAACGATCAAATGGGCCTATTCTTGCTCCAAGCCGACTGCTCTGTCCTCAATCGCGCGTCGTAGGCCGCCGTAATTTATGTCCCCGCTAAGGAAGCCGTTGCGCGAGGCGTAGCTAAGAAAAGGACTAGGCGGCGATCGCGGTGTGGTAGAGACGGAGTGGGCTTACGTGGCGATGGTACGGGACCACGTGGACGCCGTCGGCGGCGGCGGAGGGAAATCGGCAAGGCGTTCTATTCCTGCGCAGCATGGCGGCGGCGGGAAGCAGGGGAGAGCTGCGCGGAAATCGACGGCATCGGTGAACGCGTGCTACCTGCTGCGGAGCCTGAACCCTCAGGCGCGCGGGGCTACTTATATCGGGTATGCTGCGTCCAAGCTGCTGCTGCAGCCTCCCTTTAACGGCGCGTACCAGCCGACGCCCAGCGCTCGTGATTACCGCAACGGGTGGCCTTCGCGGGATCGATGTGGGACTTGGCTTGATGCAGCGCGCAGCGCGGCAGTCCCTCATGGCGTCGCCGATGCGGCCAGTACAGCTTCCTCCTCGCTCTCAGTCCCCTTCCCTCGCCTAATCTGCCCATTAAGAACCTCCTCCTCCTCCGCCTCCTCCTCCGCCGTCGCCTTCACCACGCTGACCGCTCCGTGCTCCTTCCGCGCGCCTAGCCACTCCGTACCCTTTTTCCCTTGCCCTAAATCAACAACATTTCCCCCCTCCCCTCCCACTCCAACCACTTCCCCCCCACCCCCCCCCACTGTGCGGAGCCCCCATTAGGTTCCTGGTACTCCCCGTTTGTTTTTGAGGCGCCTCATTTTTTAGGCGATTTTTGAGGCGCCTCAAAAATCTTCCCCCCCAGCCCCCCCCCACTGTGCGGAGCCCCCATTAGGTTCCTGGTACTCCCCGTTTGGCGGCGGCTGCGGCAGCACAAATCCCTCCTTCCCCCCCCCCACCCCTCCAACCCCGCCCCCACTCCCGCACTCGGACCCGCCCCTCCTCAGCTTCACAGTGGACCCCGTGCGGCGGCTGCGGCAGCACAACGGGCGCGTGGTGAGCGGCGCGCACAAGACGCGGCGCCACCGCCCCTGGGAGATGCTGCTGCTGCTGCACGGCTTCCCCTCACGCTCCGCCGCCCTGCAGGTACGCGGGGGGGGTGGGAGAAGGGGGGGGGGGAGATGGGATACGCTGCTCTGTAGGTATGTGGGGGGGGGGGGAGAGGGGTTTGGGGTTGGGGGGGTGGGGGGGGGGGTTGTGATGGGGTCTGCCGCGCTGCACGTGTGCTGTGCTTGCTGCTCGTTGCTGCAAAGTCACGAGCGTGGGGTGTGCTTGGGGTGGTGGTGATGGCTCCTCACGGCTGCAGGCATGTGGAGATCGGTGTTCACGGTGCTCAGTTGCTCTAGATCCCTGCTGCTTTAAAGGCCTCAAAAAGCTCAGTGCTCATGGTGCTCTAGGTCCATGCTCCTTTTGCTCCTCCTCCTCCTCTCCTCCTCTCTTCTTGCTGCTTTACTTGCTTCGATTTTTCCCACTCTATCCATGTTAATCAGAAGCACTAGCCAACCGTCTCTCCCTCTCGCCCCCTCCCCCGCCCTTCTGTCCGCGGGTGCAGTTTGAGTGGGCGTGGCAGCACCCGGCACGCTCGCTGCATGTGAGGGGCGTGGCGGCGCAGCACAGCAGCAGGCAGCTCGTGGGCGCGGCAGGCAAGCTCAGGCTCATGCTCGAAATGCTGCAGCTGCCGCTGTGGGGCAGGTGAGCAGAGGGAAGTGGGGGCGAGGGGAGGGGAGGGTAAGGGGGGGGAGAGGGGGATGGGAAGGGAGGGGAGGATGGAGGAGAACAGGGAAGAACGTTGGGTATGTGAAATTTAGAAGAAACGAAGAGGAGTATTTTGGTGTGGTTTTGCTGCACGTTGGATGCCAAGTTGCTGGCTACAGCACAGCTTGTTCTGGCTCTTCCTGTTTTTCATCTCTCCTCTCTGTCTAACACGGCTCCCCCCCTCTTTTGATTGCGCCCTTTGTTTCGCTCCCCTCTCCCCCCCTTCCCCGTCGTCCCCCCAGCCTCCCCCTCGTGCTGCAGTTTCTCTCCCCCGACCATGTTCCCCCCAACTGGCCTCCCGCCTGCCTCCCCCCCCAAATGCGCCTCACTGTTGCGCCCCTGGCTGCTCTTGGGGGGAGCGAGAGGGGGGAAGAGGGGGGAGGAGGGGCAGGTGGGGGAGAAGGGGGAAGTGGGGGAACAGGTGGGGGAGAGGAGTGGTCCAGTGAGGGCTGGGGGGGAGAAGCGGGGGAGGCGACGGGGGAGGAGGAGGAGGTAGATACAAGTGTAGGAGGGGAAGGGCAAGGCTTAGGGGGTGGTGAGTGTGGTGGTGGTAGCCGGGGTGTTGTTGACTGGGGATTCGAGTGGGGTGACTGTGGTCTGACAGTGGATACAGAGTGTGGCGAAATGGAATGGGGGGCGCAGGGAGGGGGAGAGGGGGGGATGGGCTTTGGAACTCCTCGTGGGACGGGCTGGAGTGGGCTGGGGCAGTGGGGGGAGGAAAGAGGGGCGAATGAGAGTGGGAGTGGGAGTGGGAGTGGGAATGGGAGTGGGAGTGGGAGTGGGAGTGGGAGTGGGAATGGGAGTGGGAGTGGGAGTGGGAGTGGGAATGGGAGTGGGAGTGGGAGTGGGAGTGGGAGTGGGAGTGGGAGTGGGAGTGGGAGTGGGAGTGGGAATGGGAGTGGGAGTGGGAGTGGGAGTGGGAGTGGGAGTGGGAGTGGGAGTGGGAATGGGAATGGGAGTGGGAGTGGGAGTGGGAATGGGAATGGGAGTGGGAGTGGGAGTGGGAGTGGGAGTGGGAGTGGGAGTGGGAATGGGAATGGGAGTGGGAGTGGGAGTGGGAATGGGAATGGGAGTGGGAGTGGGAGTGGGAGTGGGAATGGGAATGGGAGTGGGAGTGGGAGTGGGAGTGGGAATGGGAATGGGAATGGGAGTGGGAGTGGGAGTGGGAGTGGGAGTGGGAATGGGAATGGGAGTGGGAGTGGGAGTGGGAGACGAGAGGAGGTGGGTCAGGGGTGGGTGGGGAGAGGGGATGAGGTGGGAGCGAGATATGGGGTGCAGGCATGGGAAAGGGAAAGGGAAAGGGAGTGGGGAGGGTGGGAGGCAGAACATGCAGTGGAGCATAGGGAAGGCAAGAACACGGAGAGGAGGAGGAGGAGGAGGAGGAGGAGAGGGGGTGCTGCTGCTCCTGATCGTGCTTGTTCTTGCCGTGCTGTTGCGGAGGGTGCTGGGTGTTTGTGTGGTGGTGGGGGGGGTCTATTTTTGAGGCGCCTCAAAAATGGGCCCAGTGGTGGCGTGGCCGGTTGTGAGGTGACTAAGGAGCGGCGCGGCAGGGGCAGAGGCAGCAGCAGTGTTGCAGCGAGGCGAATAGCAGCAAGCACTGTGACAGCAGGGGCAACAGTGACAGCAGGGGCGACGGGGACAGCAGGGGCGAGGGGGACGGCAGGGGGAGAGGGCATGACATTGCGTGGTGGCTCCAGCAGCAGCACCATGCACAGCTGTGGCAACGGCAACGGCAACGGCAACAGCAACGGCAACGGCAACGGCAACGGCAGCAGGAGCAGCAGTGAGGGTGAGAGGATAGGTGGAAGGACAAGTGAGGGGACACACAGCAGCCTGCCCGTGCCTGGGACCGCATCTGTGGTGCTGGGGAGGGAGCGGGCAGGTGGGGGGGGGAAGCGTGGGCGGGGCGGTGTGGGGAGGTGGGGCGAGGTGGTGTGTGAGGTGATTGACCTCACAGGGGAGGGCAGCCCTGAGATGCGGGGTTGGCAGCAGAGGGAGGAGGATTGGTGGGCGGATGTAGAACCTGTAGAGCCTTCTCCTGCTGCCGTCCCTCCCCTCCAGGGTCCTGCTCCATGCACAACCCTGGAGTCCCCCCCACCATGCTCCAGCAATCCACCACCACCACCACCTGCCACTGCCTCTCTCCCGGTGCAGGCACCAGCGCAAGCACGGCTGTGGCAGGCTGTGGCCAGTGCTGCTGTGCCGCTGCAAGGGCGGGGCGTGCGTGGGGGGGTGGAGGAGGGCGCACACGCATGCTCAGAGGCTATGGAGGGGACGGAAGGGTGCAGGGGTGGGAGGAGCACGGAAGCGCGGGGAATGAGGGAGGGGGCACGTGCAGAGGCAGGCACTGAGGTAATGGGCATGGGTGAGTGGGGGGAGATCCAGGGCTGGGCGTGTAAAGGGGGCCTGGACGTGTGGACCTGTGGGGAGGAATCACCGGGCAGAAGCGGGTGGGGGCAAGGGGGTGGCGGAGGGGAGAGGCGTAGAGGGCGTGGGTATGGGATTGAAGGGGAGGAGTGGGGTTGGGGGGGAGAGGAGGGGGGGGTGAGTGTGAGGCAGGTGTTTGGAGAAGTAAAGGGACTTGATAATCGGAAGGGTGAGTGGGGAGGGGTGTTAGGAGGATGTGATCAAGGGTTGGAGGTGAGAGATGTTATCTGCCTGTTAACGCCATAGGAGTTTTCCATTTAAGAACCTTTAGCGGTGTACCTTTTTCTCTCAGAGATTGTTCTACATAAGTAATAACGTGTATTAACAATTATCTCTTCTCACATTTTTGTCTGTTACTGCCGATCATGATGAAGTACTTGGGCCTTGTGGAAAATAACCTTTTGTTAATATTACAATTAACATAACCATACAGACTACATTGCTCATTAGCACAACAACATGAAAACAAGCCGGAAAGCCCAGAAGTGTCCCCGAGGAACTGGACCGGACTACGGAACGCCAAGAGAAGGGCTGGGAACACCACACGATGAGGCACATAAACAGCTAACGGCAGAGAGAGAGAGAGAGAGAGAGAGAGCTAGCATGTGCGGTACACATTCAGGTAGGGACGATCAGCAGACACTGAAAAAATCACAGTCCTGCCTTCCCAAGAGCTTCACATTAGTGAGCTGAGAGGAGAGCAGGTCTGTGAGAGAGCGAGGATGGGGAAGTGGCGTGGAGTGGAGTGGAGAGGAGATGAGAGGAAAGGAGAGGAGAGGGTTCAGAAGCACATCCCAGGGCGGGTGTTGGGTGCAGAGGCGGATACAGAGAGCACGCCCTGCTGCGCAGGCAGCAGGCGCGGCTGTGTGACTGGTGGGGAGGGTGAGCCATGGGAGGGTACAGCCTGGGGTGATGTGGCTGGTGCGTGCGTGGGAGGAGTTGGCTCCAGATGGTGGTGCTGTCTGTGGCGGTGCTGCAGGTGATGCTGCTGCAGGTGGCGGTGCTGCTGGTGGTTGCGGTGTTGGCGAGGCTTTGAGTGGACTCAACTTAGAAGTGGATGAGGTACGCAGGCAGACGTCAAGGGAGGTGGTAGTGGTGCGAGGGCGTGGTGCAACAGTGCCATGAGGTGGTGGGTGTGTGGGTGGGTGGGTGAGGTGTGATGCACCACACGCGAAGGGTGCAGGGTGGGGTGCATGAGGCATTTATTGGGGTGTGGTGCCGTGGGCAGGGGACACCGACGGTGCTGGTTCCAAGTCACAAGGTGTGGGGAAGGGGAGACGAGGGGAGGCGGGCCGGGGTAGGAAGTAACATCACAGGAGGAATGAGAGGGGGCGTGGAGCGGTTGCGATGGGGGGGGGGGAGCAGAAGCGAGAGAACCGGGTGCATGGTTGCTGGCGCGCCCTGGCCGGTCTCAAGCCAACCAGCCACGCACAGGGGCACAGGCATTAGGGGCTGGGCTTGAGAGGAATGCCGCCATGGGCGCCAGCAGCGGCAGCGAAGGCGGTGGAGTCGGGGATGCTGAGCGTGCGGGAGAGGTTGAAGCTGCCCGAGGCGAAGCGCACGAGCGCGCCCGTGCGGCACGCATCCTGCAGCATGGACACCACCTTGGACATGTCGGGGCGGTCGCGCCGCAGCGGCGACACGCACGCCGCCGCCACGCGCGCAAACGCCTGGATCTCTTCCACCGGGGTGAGCTGCGGGAGGCGCGGGTCCACTAGCTGCTGGATCTTGCCCTCGTCAATCATGCTCAGCGCCTGGGGGAGGGGGAGGAGGAGGGGAGGGAAGGAGGTGGGGTGGAGGGAAGGAGGAGAGGAGGGTGAGGGGAGGGTGAGGGTGAGTGGGGGAACGGAAGAGGGATGGGAATGGACTTTTCTATAATGGTCGCTGGATGTGTCGCCCTCGTTGACCATGCTCAGTGCCCGGGGGAAGGGGACGGGAAAGGGGATGGGGATCGGAGCGAGGCGAGGGAAAGGGTAGTGGAGAGGCAAGAGCAGTGAGTGGGAGTAAGGGCGGCAGAGCAAGGCGGCGGAGCAGCGTACCCATTGGGGCAGCGTGAGCAGGGGCGTGCCGGAGGAGCGCGCTGCAGAGCCCATGGAGCTGAAGCGCGTGGGGGGGCGGCTGTTCTTGGCCTTCGCTCCCTGCTGGTTCTGCTGCTTGTGGCTCTGGCTGTGGTTGATCTGTTTGCTCTGCTGCTGCTGCTGCTGCTGCTGCTGCCCGCCCTGCTGGGTCTGCTGGGGATCCGCGAGGATGGGCGGCTTGCCCGTCAGCAGCTCCAACAGCACCACACCGAAGCTGGGGGGGGGGAAGAGGAGGGTAAGAGGAAAGGGTGGGAGAGGGAAAGGGGACAGTGGTGAGGGTGCGAGGGGGAGAGCAGCTCCGGCAGCACCGACAGGTTGGCAACGAAGGTGCAGGGGGGGGGGGGGAGAGAGTGAGCGGGTGCGTGAGGACAGGGCAGCTGTCTCGCACTGCCACACCCACTGCTAGTGTAACATAGGCGCATCTCAAAGAACGACTGGTGCGACTCGCTGCCAGGCGTGTGGGCGCTGCTCGCCAGTGCAGGCCTCACCTGACTTGTCGTTCCCCTGTCCCCCGTGGAGCCCGCTCACCTGTACACGTCGCACTTGGTGGTGACCTTGAAGGTCTGGAAGTACTCCGGGTCCAGGTACCCTTTCTTGCGCGCCATGCGCAGCCGCATCGCCTCGCCCGGCAGGTGCTTCAGCAACCCCAGCCCGCCCACCTTCACCTGCGCGGGGGAGAGGGGGAAGGGGGTGGGGAGGGGGTGTGGGGGGCGAAGGGATGGAGCAGGGGGAGCAGGGGAGAGATGAGTCTACGGGAAGGGGGGAGAGGGGGGGGGAGTTGTGTGGGGGAATGGTATGGGAAGAGGAAGGAAGCGACTACGAAGGAGACAATGGTGGTGGAGGCGTGTGTGTGCGCGCGTCCGCGCGTGCGCGCGCGCGTGTGCGTATGTGGCGCACCTCGAAGTGGTGGTCGAGGAGGATGGTTTCGCTCTTGACGTCGCGGTGGATGATGGTGGGGTTGCTGAACGAGTGCAGGTACTGCAGCCCATGCGCCACGCCCTGCGCGATGCGCTGCCGCTGCTCCCACGTCAGCGCCGGCCGCGGCTGGTCTGCGGGTGGGCGGGGGGTGGGGGGGGGGGTGGGGGGGGGGGGGAGAGCGGGGAGGGGAGTCGAAGAGAGGTGAGAGAGAGAGGGCGGGAGGGAAGAGAGAGCGGACGTTGTGAGGCGCCACTCAGGATTGCCGGAACGAAGGAGAGGTAAGAGGCGGAGGGGAATGACGGGCGACGGCTCACTGCTGGCGTTCCGCAAGCTGACGACGGGTCAGATATCTCGGGCGTCGCGTACCTGGCGGCGGGCGGAGCCAGGAGCTGAGCGCGCCGTTGGGCATGAAGGGGAAGACGAGGATCTGCTCGTTGTTTTCGTCGCAGAACGCCAGCAGCTGCAGCAGGTTCGCGTGCGACACCTGCGACAGAAAGTCCACCTCGCTCTTGAACAGGTGCGACCCCTCGATGGACACCTTCTTGGCGCGCTTCACGGCCCACGCCTGCCCGTCCGGGCCCTCGCCGCGATGCACGCTGCTGTACCCTGCCGCCTCGATCGTTCCCGCCTCGTCGAAATTGTTCGTCGCCACCTGCGCAAGACGGGGAGAGGGCGGGGGGCGACGCGCACGGGGGGAGAGGGGGAGGGGAGGGCGAAGGGAGTGAGGAGATGGGGAAGGATGAGAGTGTGAGGTGCGGATGGGTGGGTGTAATGGTGTTGAGAGGGGTGCAGAGGGACAGGTGATGAGGAATCGCAGGGAGCGAGGCACGCGTGAGCGGAAATCCGGGAGAAGTGGGGACGTGGGGGCGAGAGAGCGCGCAGAAGAGGCCAATCGAGGAGATTTTTTTTTTAGGCGCCTCAAAAAAAGAGAGAGCGCGCAGAAGAGGCCAATCGAGGAGATTTTTTTTTTAGGCGCCTCAAAAAAAGAGAGAGCGCGCAGAAGAGGCCAATCGAGGAGATTTTTTTTTTAGGCGCCTCAAAAAAAGAGAGCGCGCGCAGAAGAGGCCAATCGAGGAGATTTTTTTTTTAGGCGCCTCAAAAAAAGAGAGCGCGCAGAAGAGGCCAATCGAGGAGAGTGGCGGACGGAGCGGAAGGGAGCAGCGCAGGGGCTGCGGAGGGGTAGCGGAGGGGCAGCGCAGGGGCAGCAGAGGGGGAGCGGAGGAGCAGCGGAGAGGCAGCGGAGGGTAGTGACCTGAATGTCGTTGAAGGGCAGCGAGGGCAGCGAGAAATCGCCGTCCCCCGCGCTGCTGGTGTACTTCTGCGACCCGATGCGGATCACGCGCCGCGGCTTGCTCTGCTGCCCCTCACCCGTGTGCTTCCACTTGCCTGCCGCCAGAGCAAAGCGCGCCGAGCCCCGCCGAACATCGCACGCACACAAAACACCAAGAGAGATAGAGGAAACGTTTTAGATTGACGGGATTCAGAGACGGCGAACGAAGGATTGGTGGGGGGGGGAGGGGAAGGACGAGGGGATGGGAGAGTGGGATTTCGAGCGAGAGTGAGAGAGGGTGAGAGTGGGGAAGAGGAGCGGGCTGACCTTGAGGAGGGGGAGCCGGCTTCCAGAACACGAAGATGGCGATAAGAATAGCGACTGCCACTATAAGGAGTGATCCCACCACGATTGTGAGTACGAGCTCGTTGGCTGTAGCGCGGGGAGGGGAGGGATAGCGCGGGGAGAGCGCGCACAGCGAAGGTGAGCGGGGCGAGCGAAGGAGGAAACGAGCGGAAGGGAAGTGCAAGGCGCGGTTGAGAAGGGCGAGAATGAGTGGAAGGATGCGCACGAAACGAAAGAGGGCGAGAGAATGGCGCGATGAGTGGCGCGACGAGTGGCGCGAAATTAGCACGCAAGGGCGTCCGCGAGAGCGGGAGCGAGTGGCGAGCGGCGGGGCGAGAGCGTACTCATTTGCACGTCGATGAGCGCGCGCCGGGGAACGAAGGCCGCTGCCGAATCTGAAGGATGAGCGGAGCGTGCACACCGGGGGTGGCGCGGGAGAGGGGAAGAGAGGGGAGGGAAGGGGAGAAGAGGGCGGGAGAGACACACGGTGAGAGGTGCCGAGGGGAAGAGAGGGGAAGAGAAGGGAGCGTGGGGGCGAGAGCGAGAATCAAGAGTGAAGAGCCGGTTGGCAGAGCTGATTGCGGAATCGGCGGAAACGGGGAGCGCGCGGATCGTTGGCAGGCAGGTAGCAGAATTGGATAAAATCAGAACGAGAAGGGCAGCTCGGCGAGACTAACGCGCAAGGATGATTACGACCAAGTTAGCACCAGCGAATGACTCCCAAGAAAGGGAAGCAGGGGCGGGAGACGAACCAGACTGCGAGTGACCGACGGAGCAGCAGAGGGAGAAGGTGAGGAGAGCGAGGAGGAGGGGGGCCATGGCGGACGAGGACGACACAACGCGCCACGCATGCGCCGGTCTTGGTCGGTCCTTGGAGCACGCCGCCGAACACGCTGGTCTCGAAGAGACCGCCATTGGAACCGCGGCGTGCGGGTTGCGCGCGACGGATAGGCTTCTAACGGGGATGCGAACGCGTGTGTTTTAACGCTGCACTAGCAGCTGCTACTGCACCTATATGCCCACGACGGCCCTACACGCGATTGGTTGGCCGACCTCGAGGCGCAGAAAATGGGCTGGGGGCGACGAGACTCACGAAGAAAATGACGGACTGGGGGCAGAAGCAGCTGTCTACCAGGGGAAGTGGGGCCGAGAATGCTACGCTAATGAGCGACGTATAGGAACGACTAACTGGTCTAGTTGTTTATACAAAAATCGTCCGTCTGCATGGCGAGTCATCCATTGCACGTGTATCGCCAAATTCGACTCGTTTCGAATAGACCCGTGTGTCCCGGATCTTCGCTTCGACACCAGTCGAATTGCGCTAGTCACGTGAGCTCGAATTGCTAGGAGTCGGAACAGCTTCCTACCGCCACGCAGACACGGACACTACCACTGCTATACTCGATCTACGCAAGGTCGACTGGGCAAGCTGCGACTGATTGGCGATGATGAGAGGACCGGGATAGAAATGAGACAAGACGAGAGGAGACAGGAGGAGTCGCAACGCGACGAGTCGAGACGAGAGACAGGGAGGGGTGACGGAGAGAAAAGGCAGGCGCTGTATGCGGCTGAAAACAGGAGGGAGCGGCGGCAGGGGCGAGCGAGGGACGAGGCGAAGGTGATCGGTCGTTTTCTTGCCACCTACGTAGCTTGTTCCTGGTGCCTGTCCTAAACGCGCGGGAATGGTTCTGTGGGTGTTGCACTTGGCGGGAGGTCTGCGTTGTGATGCGAGGGAAGCGTCGATGGAGGGCAGCAAGAGGGGGCGCGGGAAGCGCTTGCTAGTGTTGCGTTGCGTGCTGTGCTATCTGGCGAGGCTAACTTGTCGGTCAGGAGGAAGTCAACGAGCGATCACAGCCCACGAGCAGATTCCCCTCGAGTGCGTAACAGCAGCAGCGCAAGGCGCCGCAACAGCAGCAGGCGGGGAGGGAAGAATATTTGTTTGACAGGGTCGGCGGCGGCATGAGCGCGGGGAGCGGCAAGTGGCACTGTACCGTGTGTTTTTTTCCTGCTTGCCTCACTGCCGCAGGAGGCGGGGCATCCCCTGCGAGGCTGACGGGCAGCCAGCCCAGGACCCAGGTGTGGTTTGATGTGATGTGAGGCGGTGCTGTGCTGTGGTAGTCGCTTGCAGTCTTCCTCGCCGAAATGCGGTGCACTTTTCAACGGGGGTGGCACGGAATCTGGCTGACCACACTGCCTGCCCAGATTGAAGTGGAATTCGCGCCAGGTGTGTTTTCAGGAGGTAAAATTTGTTGGCGGGACGACTCGGTTATTCGAGGAGGTTCGATTTGGAACAATTGGCTGGGACATACAAGGCTAGCAAGGGGGGCACCGACGGGGAAAAGAAATTTGGCGAATGGTGTGGCCTGCTGGGGTTTGACTAGCCAATCAGGAGCACCTCCTGTCTTAGTTCAGGTTGCGCCAAAACCGGCACTCCGTGAAGCAAGGCAAAACATTTTGTGCGAGCGCAGATGCTGGAGTTGCTAATTTCACGAAATAACGGTGTATACTGGCAACTGAAAACAGTCTATTGTTGACATCTATTCAGTACATTCCGTATCACCAAGCATACATCACATCATATATGTAGCACTTCGATGTGCCATTCCTAATTGATTTGAACTTCCCATAATTATTAGAAATAGCATTAATCCCGGTGTTAAGAATCTGCACACTAATGGGAACCATATTATCATGCACTCAGACGCGACATTAGGCGAATTCCTATGTTATTGGATCATGATCAATAATGTTTCTGATCCAGCAGTTTTACAATCCGCAGATCAACGATACTGTAAAACGACCGCAACTGAGTTTCGCGTGCGAAGCTGGATGCCTCGCACGATTCTACGCGTGCACCCCGACGTCCAACACAAAACCTCGCAACGACTGCCCATACCAGACAATGCCTGTTTACAACGGCAAGATCCTCGCCGCAACATACAGGGCCGGAAAAACGTGAGACACAACACCCACATCAATAAGTTAAATAGAATTCCGAAGCCAACATAAGCACAATCTTGATTGAGCACGCCGGCCAACGTGGCGATTCAACACCTTCATGTTGCTCGAGCTACAAAAGCATGAGTAGAGGCAAACACATGCCATAGACCAAGTTCAACGTCAGTAGGCACAGGTTGTCAACTTATACATATATTTGCATGTAGAAGTTATAGGCTAGAATAAGTGTGTGTTCTTAGAGAGTACAACCCAAACCCTATATTTTCATTGTTCTCTCTTCTTTCTATTTTTATTTTAGTATTCTAACATGGTATCATAAGTAGTTTAGGTCCACCCATCTGCTTCCACCCCGCGCCCTAGCCTACCGCACCTCGCCGGTCCCTAGCACGTCCGCTAGCCCCCCTTCGCGCGCCCGCTGTCCCGTACGCGCCTAGTCGGCCCCTCGTGCCTAGCCGGCCCCTCTCTCGCCTAGTCGGCCCCTCGCGCCTAGCGGCCCCTCGTGCCTAGCCGGCCCCTCTCTCGCCTCGTCGGCCCCTCGCGCTCCTAGTCGACCCCTCTCGCGCCTACTCGGCCCCTTGCGCACGGCCGGCACTTCGTGCCCCAGCCGACCCTCTCGTTCCTAGATGGCCCCTCTCGCGCTTGATCGGCCCCTCGCGCCCAGCCGGCCCTTCACGTCCAGCCGACCCCTCTCTTGCCGTAGCCGGCCCCTCGCGCCGTAGCCGGCCCCTCGTACCTAGCTGGCCCCTCGCGCTGTAGCCGGCCCCTTCGTCTCTAGCCGGCCCCTCCCGCGCCGTAGCCGGCCCCTCTCGCCTAGCTGGCCCCTCGCGCTTAGCCGGCCCCTCTCACCTAGCCGGCCCCCTTTCGCGGCCAGCCGGCCCCTCTCGCGCCGTAGTCGGCCCCTCGCGCCTAGCCAGCCCCTCTCACCTAGCCGGCCCCTCGCGCCTCGCCTGCCCCTTGCGCTTCGCCGATCCCTCTCGCCTAGCTGGCCCCCTCTCGCCTAACTGGCCCCTCTCACCTAGCCGGCCCCTACCGCCTAGCCGGCCCCTCTTGCGCACCGCCGGCCTCACACGCCTTGCCGGCTCCTCTCTATGCACCGGCCCCTCCCGCACCTGCCCGGCCTCTCGTGCGCCTGGCCGGCCCCTCGTGCGCCTCGGCCCCTTGCGCGTCCGTTGGCTCCTGACGTGCCCACCGGCCCTCTAGCGCCCCTCTTGGCCTTCTGCCCGGTCTCTGTTCCGGAGAGTCCTGCCGCCATGCCGCTGCATCGCCGTGCAGCTGAGTACCCGTGTCCCTGTACCGCTGTGCCCCGGTGCCGCTGAGATTGCGTTATGGCGGACGCCATGCTACGCCTGGACGCAGAGGAGCACGCGGTCGACTTCGCCGCCAGGCTTGTCGATCTTCGCCGGCACGTGACAGGTCAGCGCTAGGATAGGCACTCCTTGGCTATGCATGTTGATGACTTGCTTCCCCACCACTCCGCGCCTGATCCCCTCCCTACTGACCCCACCACTGCTGAGACCCTAAGCCCTAAACCCTAAACCCTAAAGCAGAGTGAGGCCTTTGCTGCTGCGGCGCTAGCTCGCGCTGTCTGGGATTCTCGCGAAACTGTAGCGCAATTTGCCATTAGTTATGTGCTTCCCCTTTTGGAGCGCCCGCATTTCACTACTGTCGCGAACGCCGAAGACTTCTTAGATGCAGTAGTTGCACGCTACTCCACGATTGCCTTCGCCTCAGCTGAACGCTTGATCCTCACCATGCTCTTCCCCGATCTCTCTGCTTTCCCCACTGTCACTGATCTCGCCACTCACCTCCGTGCACTAGAGACTAGCTATCGCGCTGCTAGCACTGCCGCCTAGCTCACTGCTTTCCCCCCACCGTTCTGTGCTACCCTGTACCTTATCGCCATGCGCCTGCCTGTTCGCTTAGCCACTGCCTGAGACCACTTCCTTAGCCAGCACCCATGCGACCTCACCCTAACTGCCTTTGTCATTGCCCTGTCTGAGATAGAGATGCGCCAGCGCACTATCGCTCAGTCGAGTGGTGTTGCAGCAGTCCCTATCTTTCAGGGCTGTGCTCCCTCCCAGTGCACGTATGCTGACGTTTCCGCCGCGGTTGCTATGGCTATCCCGGCCATTGAGACCGCTGCTCCGGCCTTCCAGCAGCAGCGGCAGTGTTGGGACCGCCGCGACCCCAAGGGAGGGCGTCTTGGTAGCGCTGGTGGTGGTCGTGGTGGTGGCGGGGACAGTGGTTCTGACAAGGAGGTTGGGGCTGGTGTCCAGGAGCAGTAGCAGACGCAGCAGCAGCAGCAGCCACCGCAGCAGCAGCAGCAGTCGTGGGCCCACCTCCTTACGGGATGGCCAGGAGCCCAAGGAGGTGGTGGCCGCGGTCGAGGCCCCCGCAGCTCGGCGTCTACCGGTAGCTTCGGTACTGTGGGCTGCCACTACCAGCTCTTGATCGGGCCCCATCGTGGCACTGCGTGCCGCCACCCGCACCCGACTGCCAGCTGCTTTCGCCGCCTCGACGACCTCTTCCGTCGCTGCTTCGGCCCGGCCTCGGACCTCCCCGACTGGCCTAGTCTGCTCCGTCACGGTGTGCCTATATTTGACTTAGACATGGATCAGATTAGTTCTGCCCTGCATTCTCTATATGCTGATGCTTATAGTGTGTCCGAATCTTATTACCCTGTGTTCTCTAGCTTAGGCGTAGCACTTGTGTACTGACTCCACTGCTGCGTCAAGCGTAGGACCATTTCCTTTGTCTAGCCTAGGCTCTACCCTTGCTCCTCCTTCGTCGGCGACTACTGCTTCGCTGTCCTTCACGCTCGTCTCGGGTGCGTGTGCCTGCTTCTTTCGCGACCACACTACTCTCATGCTGCTCGTTGCCCCTGCCTCTGTCGCCCTTGCTGACCCCTCTTCTGGTCATGACGTTGCTCGCAGCTCCAATCCCCTTCCTTGTCCAGCGGCCCCCTCAGGTTCCCTTACACGCCTGCACATCCCCTCGTTTTCCAGGAACTTAGTTGGTATCGGCTGTCTTCAAGACCTCGGCATCACCACTACGTTCCCTGGTCACGAGCGGTACGCTGTCTGTACCGAGGTCGCCTCAGGTGCCCCTCCTGTGGCATTCCCCTTGGACCCGGTGTCTAGCCTGTCTACGCTGGACACTGCTTCCCGCTCGGTTGGGGCGTCCTCCCCGTGTCTTGCGTCTACCCAGGCCACTGCGACCTGCTCGTGTAGGTCGCTCACTCACCCATCGCTTCTGTGGCACCACCGCCTAGGTCACCCCGCACTCCCCCGTCTACGTCACACGTCTCAGCACGGTCTTATTCTAGGTCTCCCTGCATCACTTCATGCCCTCCCTCCCTTGCCTGTGCCGCCGTGCACGCCCTGCGTCGAGGGCCAGCTGCGCCGTTCTGCTCACTCCTAACTCGCTTCGCCCTGCCACCGGACCCCTCCAAACCCTGCTTTTAGACGTCTAGGGCCCAGCCCCCGTCCCTGGACCGCGTCGCGAGCGCTACTTTCTCGTGCTCGTCGACGACTTCACACGCTACACCACGGTTTTCCTTCGGAGCAGAAGACTGACGTGCCTGGCGTTCTTATCCCATGGGTCGTAGCTACGCGCCTCCACCGCGGCCTCCCTGTGCTGTGTCTCCACTCCGACCGTGGCAGCGAGTTCGCCTCTTGTCAGCTTGGACAGTTCTATCGAGCTAAGGGCATCACCCAGCCGT